TTTTCTAACATCTCCTCACTACTGAGAGTCTGTTTTGCACTGGAGCCAAGCCTCTTACTCATATTCTGCCAAACGTGTAGCACAGGAGTTGACAAGCTGTGCTTACACAGAAGGTAGATAAGAATAAATTAAATTAGATCATTGGCTTAGTAGCAGATGGCGGGTTAATCCAGTTTACAAAGTGAGTTCTGAAGAAAAATAAATGCTTATAAATTTGTGAATATTTACTTGAGTGTGTGGTGGAGTTGCAGGGACTGAGTTACTTTATCTGGAAGCGTCATTTGTTTTATTTAGATTATGAACAAAATAAGCAACGTGCTCATTTACTTCAGAGGTAAAGCCCCAAGCTTTGGTTCCAAACAGAGCCCAAGTGGTTCCAATTACAGCAGCAACATGAATTAACCAGAAACTGCCCCTGGACAGAGAAAATCCCTTAGACAGCATAAAGCCATATTAGCTTTTCTTGTCTTTGTTCTATGAAGGAAAATTATAGGTAGGGTGGAAGATACAGGTCTTTAATTTATATTCTTCTGCAAGAGATCTGTTTTATACCTAATAATTACTTTTTACCTAAGAAGCATAATACATTAGCCAAGAAAAGCTCTGCACTGCAGGTAGAGTCTTCTGTATTTGAGATCGGCCATTTCAAGCTGCCCTGAGCAGCTCGGCCTTGCAGCTAGCTGACTGAGGGAGAAGCTTAGTTTCATCCTGTTCATGTGGTATCCTCCATTCTCTTTAGCTCCACTGAATACAGACTCTTACACATTTAGCATCTAGACTAACATTCATAATGCATGCAGTAAACAAAAAAGTATATGTCCAGTCTTATGTTACAATTTCATCTGAAACCTTGAATTAAACAGGACTATCCAATAAAACACAGGTAAGGTGGCATCCATTGTATAAGCTCTATCTCCAAACATTATGTAAAGAGGGTCAGATTTTGCCTGCAGATATATTTGCCTGCCTCCAAATCACCTCAGTTAGTGCAGTGTATAACTCTGCTTGTGGCAGAATGCAACTCATAAATACCAAGGGGATCAAGTCACGGCAGAGGGGTGAATATGCTGGAGGTTCAAGCAACCAGGAAAGAATATCTTTTCAGATGAGATTTGCAGTGAGATGGAAGAATCAAGGAAACAGAAGTCAAGTGGGATGTTCAAGAATGCCAGGTAAAGAAGTGTGGTCACTACAAGCAGTGACAGTGTTGGCACTCGAGTTTCCAGACGAGAGGCTTGTGTTAGGTCCGGATGAGGGGACGTTATAGTTTGATTCTCCTGGTGACTCACTGAAGCCCTTCCTAGCTTTAAGTAGGAAATTTGCAGTTGTGAAGCATACTGATGCTGCCAAAAAGCTGGTTAAACTTACCTCCTTAACTTAAACTTACCTCCACTTACCTCCTAGTCTTTGGTTTTGCTTGAAACTGTAGCAGTTCACCAATGGTTTTAGGCACCCCACCAGCAGCTGAGGTATTTTAGGTGATGCACAACACAGTGTATCTGATGCTAGGATTTTTCTGGAATGCCAGGTAGCCACAGTCAAAGTAATTGTTGCTTTTTCTGTAGTATCAGTATCTTCATCATACCTTGAGGGCTGGTTTTGGTTTTTATGGGAGACTCAGCTGCATCTAGTAATGCATCTTTAGTTGTAAAGATGGATTTTGATGTTCTTAGCAACCAACCCTCAAAAACACTGTGGTTATATTCTATTTATATAATCATCAGTCCAGAAGACTCAACTTTGAAGAAAGGAGTGATACCTCGATCAGAAACCAAATCTCAGATGGAGGTCTGGTGTCATCTTCTAATTGGTCTAGGGAGTAGGGTCTTGTACCTGTGTGCTACACATGGGAACTAGAGCTGAGCATCTTACAGATGGATTTATGCTGTGGTAAATAATGTGGTGGCCCACTGTTCAATTCCACAGCTCTATCTGTGCCCCTTTGTGTGAAGGGAAAACAGCAAAAGCCAGAAATGTACTAGAAAAATCAGAAAGAATGACTCAAAAGAAATCTTTTGAGGTTTTAATGGAATTCAGTACATGCCTACTTACTTCTTAACAGATTTGGGGGAGAGAGAGAGAGGTTTGAAAATTTTATTTAATCTTATTTGGAGAACTATCTATATATTTAAAATATGATGTATGTATGTATGTTGTAGGAAACAGAGGCTTTGTATAAGTAATATTTACCTTATATAAAAGAAAAGTATCACAGAAAAAGAAGAGGCAAGCTAAGGCCTCTGTGTCTGCTAAATAAAAATGTATCACTCCCTGTAGTTAACTTCTGAAAAAGGTAATTCTAAGAATTAATGGCTTTACTGTGGTACCTGGTCTTTTTACTGCTAGAGTGATACTTGGATCCAAAGGTAATTTGTCAAGAGCTACAGTCTGCATACATACCAACTTGATAGCTAATGTAATGAAAGTCAGATTTATTTTAACGTTGCAAGATGACCAGGTTTCTGCAGTGGTAGTAGTCATGTAGTTTAATTCAGGTAGATCTTACTTTCACAGCCATGTGCTGTGTTGTTCAAATACTCGGTCTTGAACACAATTTAATGTGAATCCGGACTACCAATATCACATGTAATCTCCCGCAGACTGGAAGTCAAGAGTCCAAGGCTGGCAGAGACCACCATCTCCGCAATGTGTGTTTCTCGGGGAGAAAACAGTCTGTCAAACATGCATACAAACAGCTTTGCTAGCTTGCCAAGCTTTGGCACAAGCTATAAAAACAAAAGCACTTCCCCTGCCTGAAGGGAAGGAAAAGCTCTTCGAATTGGTACGAATGGATGACAAAATGCATAGTGTATGTAATCTGGAAAAGACATACAGTAAGGAAAAATGTGCATTACATATTCGGTCCTTGCTTCAGTGATGTACCCTCTGCAGCACATGCAAATACTGTTTCAGGAAATGAATAATAGTGATAATGGAAATAACATAAGAAAGCAGCTAGACTATGCTCATGATTGTATAACCACTAAAAGCTTATTTATGTTGTGTTTTGCACCTGGTGTTGATCTGTTTCAAGAGCTCATATAATTATTTGCATTAGTATAAAGAAACATACACTCATTAGTTATCAGTCCCATTGCACTTTGTTCCTTTCTGTTGTTATTAACTCTTTAAATCATAACAATGCCCAGAAGCTCAAGCCAGGAGCAAGAGCTGCCTGCTCTAGAGATGTCAAGGCATACAGATTTTTTTTGTACCTTCTGTAAGGAGAAGTAATCTGTCTTGCATTAATAAGCTTGACTATCAGAGCTTAGGTCTTCGTGATTTGGCTGCAAGGCCGTTTTCAAATTATAAGCACAGTCCCTTGATGGTTTCAAGTCCATGGTTTCAAGTCCAACAATCCAACAAATGTCCAGCTTGGGAAGTCTCCACTAGCACTGTAGTAAGCCTCTAGCATCTTTTCTGAGGAGTGGGAATTTACAGCCCCGTGGTGCTTCCAGACCCGGTGCTGGGGTAGTGCTAAATAAAAATATAAATGTGGCACAAATTCTGACAGTGTCGCCTCACTAATGCAATAGAAATGCTGTAATTTGCTTGATTTGGATCATGTATCTATGCTGGGTGATCCAGGAGTGCACAGATCTGAAAATAATGATTGTAGATTGACAGCTTTGCATTCCTGTAGTAGTTTGGCAAGGCCTTGCAGGAACCCATTGAAGGCATGCTTTTTTGCATTATAATTTAGGTTTTAAGTGTGTAAGCGAGACTTGGGAGCAAACATAGAAAATAGATAATGAACTCTAGGTTTCCTATTTATATCAAGTTTTTGTTTGTTTGTTTGTTTGTTTGTTTGTTTTTTCTTAAAATAGTAAAAAGGAAAAGAATTTACTTTCTCAATGCAAGATCTCATTCTAGATCCCACTTACTTCTTTTGAAGGTTCTTACTTCTCTGAGGTTCATACCCAATTCAGGAAGAGCAGATTAATTGCCTTTGAGGCTCCCACTGTGGGCAGATCCTACTCAGTGCAAAATTCTGTGTGTGGCTAAAGAGTCTGTTACTCAATTTTTGCTCTTTTTTATGATGATTTCAGCTCCTCTGTGGGGAGTATCCTCAATCAATATTTTAGTGGGTCATCAGTCCTCCCTGCTGAGTTACTTCTTTGCTAAGGCAATGTCTTCCTTGGAAGAATAAGCCTTCCTCTAGAATGTCTAATTGTCTAGAATGATTGCAGTACTATCACAGTATGCTTAAAATAAGATCCTCTGTTCCTGTCTTTCTCCTACAAGGTGTGGATGCCTCAAATTACAAAGAACAGAAAGGCAAGCAGAAAAAGTGAATGGCTATATAGCCAAAATAAATGTCGACAGCCCTCATGTACAGAGATAAATTTGTAAAAAATTAATTTAATAGATTTCCCAATGTATACATAAATAAAGATTATATTTTCAATAACATGTTACAAACTAATTGCATATATTTTAGATCTGAAGCCAGGTGTTTTGTTTTTGTTTGTTTTTTTTTAATCTGCAATGAAATTCTAGGGCAAATCTATGAAGTCAGTGTTTTTAGTAATGTTCAAACTGATCTAAATGATAACATTTGGGAATGCAGTGGGCACAATTTCACTTAGAACTGGGTTAGAAAGGTGAAAATTTTACATGGTGGCTGTACTTTAATCCAACAAACTCTGAGCTCCGTGACAGCTGAAAATTGAGGGAGGTTGATGTAGCATTAGAATCTGTCACACAATATTTAAGGCAGTCAACTGTTATCCTTTTAATTGCAAGTATTTCCATTAATTGCTGTAGAAATTCATCACCATGACCTGGCTGAGCTCCAAAAGAAAGTGTGGAAACTAATTAAACATTGAGTTTTAAGGTAAAATAGTAAATTGCTCATTAGAATGCTTGAAATTCTGATTTATTGCTAACAGAACTAAATAATACTTGACTTTGCAGAAACTGGGTCATAGCATTTTTCCTTAGTGTAACTGAAGGTGCTGTAGCTTAGACATCAATTAATTGGTCTTCATTTTTTGCAGCAGTACACTTGTTTGGTTTAACCTGGCAACTACAGCCTGTTGAAGGGCAGCTGTACGAAAATGGAGTTAGCAAAGGAAATAGAGGAACAGAGTCCATGGATACTACTTACTCACCAATCGGAGGAAAAGTTTCTGATAAAACAGAAAAAAAAGGTATGTGTGAAGAAGCAGACAAGACAAAGTAGGAATATTTAAACATTTCTACAGTTCAGATTCTGTATTTGCTAAAGTTTGGCAGTATTTCTATTTTCTCTAGAAAAAAAAAATGAAAATAGGTATGAAAATCCCATATCCAGATTGTGTCGTTTAGCAGAAGTCTCACTGAAATAAGCAACCGGCCCAAGCCATTAAGGAGGTAATGTTCAATAGCAAAATGACTGCGTTTCCTGTGTGAGAGAAGAGAGATCAGAGAGCTGCCTCTTGTCTTAAGACAGGAGAGATGAGAGCATATTTGCCATGTCCCCTGGTTGTGCTAAGGGCTCGTTGCTGTGCCTGTGTCTTGCAGACCAGAGTCACTCTTAGCAAAGTGAAAATCTTCTTGCTGACAGGTCAGAATATGCAGAAGGGCAGAAATCCTAATGCTTTTAAATGCATCCAGTTCTTGAAGGCGTAAGCTAAAATACAGCATCCTGTCACATCCTGCTATAACCAGTCATACTGAATCAGCTTGCAGGAACCACCTGGGGTTTCAGAAAATGTCTGAGCCAGTCTGGCAGTGGGGGACAGCCCACAGCACCTCTCCCTGTAGCCCTGTGCCTGCTTCAGGAATCATCTCAGGAATGAGTAAAGCACCTCAGCTTACTGGTGGCAGAAAATGGCTTTGGTGAAATGGTGAATAGTATTCTGCTGTTTTAGTTGATGAACCAGCTGTTCTGAAGTGGCAGAGACATGCCAGAGCTGGCAAAGGAAAGGAGTGGAGTGTGCAGCCAGCAGCGTGAAACAGAGCAGGGCTGCCGAGAGGACTCAAAACTCCTTTCTCTCAAGTCCCATTGTTCAATGCTGTTAACTCACCTACACCAATACTAGCTAGAAGACCTTATACCTATTTCCCGTTGACCACCACATAACACCACGATGATTTTTGACCCTAAAAAGCAGATAGCCATCCCATTTCTTTTTATGATACTCAGAAAAAGTGGATAAATCAAATAGATTAGATCAGAGAAAGGTGAACGGGAATAGAACGTGAACTCTACTCTTCCAGCTGTTAGGAGTAAGGTAAAATTTTACTGAGTTCTGCAATGATGGGAGATTTCCAGAGTTTTCAACTTTTGTATCAGAGCAGTGATGATTCTGTGTCTGCCAGGTAAGAGCTATGACTCTAAATATGAGACAAGGTGGGACATGGTCGTACCAGTCCCTCCAGAAGGAAAATTGCATCTCAGTCAATAGTCTTACAAATCAATGTGGCACAGCTGGATAGAGATCATATTAGATAAATGAGCAATAGAAATATATGTGGGGAGGCAATGATATTGTTATCCATTATTTCTTCTCTTAGAATGGATTGATAGTGAATTACAGTAAATGTTTTACACACTTTTGTATTTCTGTCCTGGTGCACCATGGAAAATGTCTAAGCTATCTCAAGTAGTTCTTCTAAGCTGCATTAAATCATTTTGTCAATATATTACAGATTTAATAAAAGCTCATCCAAAGCATTCGGCTTCCAAAGGAGGCAGTACAGGAAAAACATCAAAACATGATCCTAAAAATTAGATTTTTGAGAACAGAGAAGAGCATATGTGAGTCAATAGAGAACTCAGTGTAGCAGGTAAAAACCTCCACCACCACCAACAGAAAAAAACAGTTCCCTCACCCCAAGCAATCCTAATGTCATGCGTAGCCACGATTCCCCCAAAGCACTAAAGCAAGGAGAGCTGTGACACCAGAGCTCCTTCACTGAAGGCTTATCTAACAGTTTCAGAGATCAGTCTTAAATATAGCTAGCCTGTTTTCTGACTTGTCATCTTCCACCTTCTGGGGTATGCTAATCCAGGGTATGCTAATAAGAATTATACACTTCAGAAAACACAAGAAAAGCAATGTGGACTTAGGACCAGGCATCGGTATGTGCATCATCTGGATCTGACTAACTTCTGCTGTCTCTTTCCCTCCCTCCCTTATTTCCTTGCTTCCTTCCCATCCCTTTTAATATACGTAAGTCATTCTTCCCCCAGTGTTTGTACCAAATATTCCATGTTAATGTGCTGGGAAGGAGGACTTCAGCAGCGTACCATGAAAAGTTGATACTTTGCCTATAAACTTGAAGCCTCTAATGTGATTTCACAGGGATGCTGTCAGATATTATGACCTCCCATTTTCCCAACTCTATGCAGCAGCACGAGACACTTTGCCAGACTTTGAAAGCATATATTTTAACTAATCTTTTAATGGAAATCAAGTTTATAAACCAGCAAGTCAGATTTCTTTAAGAAGTCATTTTATGACACAGTGACCCATGGCTATGAGTTAACATTTTAATATGTAGCAATGTGATTAAAAACTCAGACATCCTATTGATGCTGGTATTACCAGGGGAGTACACAGAGATTGATTGTTTCAGGATCAGTAATAATCAGCATATGGGTACTTCCTTGTGAAGATAATTGGCACCATGCTGTTCAGAGTTTTACTTTCTTGAAGCCAAAAGAAACCTGTGATTAGGAATCCATCTTCTGTTTTAGAACTGCAGAGAAAGTGTGCTTAGAAAGAATGGGGAGAAATTAATACCAGTTGATAAGACTGGGAGCTGTACTAGGAATTGAATGTAGGTAATTAAATAAGACTTTGTCATAGGAAAAACGTTGTAAGAAAGATGGTTTTTGAGCAAGTGCAGAAATTGTATTGCAGCACTGTAATTTTAAATGCTTATCTATGACTTTTCTAAGAAAGAGTAAGAAAAATATATGAGATAGTCTGTGAATAGCATATCCTCAGATGACTTACCTGTATGGCCAAATAACTGCTTCATTCAATTAAGCAAAGAAACAGAGCTAAATTATTTTTTTCTATAAAGGAGTCACAATGGCTCACTGAATATGAAATCATGCACTTCAGACACAGTGCTTACAGTCAGCTTTTCATGCTGTATGGTTGCCTGAAAAAAATAGTATTTGAAAGGTAGGGGTGCTGCAAGTACTACTTTCAGTAGATAATATGTGTTTTTTCATGTCAGCATTGTGAACAGCAGCATGCACTTCTTTCAGATATAATGAGATAATAGGAAATCTAAGTATATGTATGCTTTTTTAAGATTACATGAAATTATTACTAAAACAACATTTTCATCCCAATGTAGAAATACTTCTCACAGATACGTTGTTTTGAGCCTAGCAACAGTAACGTGCTATTCAGCATAATCTGATAACACCAATTAGTGAAAATACTTCCTCAAAGGACACGTATGCCACAACTAAAGTCCTGATGCTTGTTCTTTTCAAATAAGAACCAGGTCTTCTCACTTCAACAAACTCAAAAGCAGTTAGTGCATTTTAAAGGACGTTGAACACAGACCAATAATTCCATTAACTTCCAAAATGATACCGTATCCTTGACTTTTTACTTATTGCTCTACCGTCTTGTAATTGAATCACATTAATTACCATGTGTCAATATCATCAAAAAGTTCCTTAGTGTTTTACTTAACCTGGGGTAATTGCTTGCAATGAATCATTAAGATTTAATATCTCTGGAGTACTGGAAATAGGGGGAAAGGTTTTTAAATTTATGTCAGCCAACAGGATCTGATGCGTGTCATGGGGTGGGAGGGATCCACTTTCTTTGCCCAACTACATTAGAAGTATAAATTTCTACTCAAAACTCCACATGGAGGACTTGATTCTCAAAGAAAATTGGACAAAAGTAGTCTCACCTTGAACATTGCTAAAGCATGGATTTGGAATTATTTAGTTTATGTATTAAGGTTCAAGGTGGCTTTTTAGAGTTCTGTGCTCTAAAAACGTATGCTTTTATGTGGTAAGGTGTTAAAAGTCAGCTCCTGGTTCTTGCTGTAGCTTTGTTACTGGTGACACAAAGCAGCTGTAAAGCTGGAAGATCCAGTACCCTGAGAATTGCTCCGGCCTTCTAAACGAAATCTGTATTCATTAAGAATGCTAAGTACTCCCTACACTAGTTAAAGCCAATGAAGGATCCCACTGAGGATCTCTGTTATTATGTTTAGGAAAAATCTGACCCTAGCTTTGCTACTGCTGCAAAGGCAATTTATAAAATTTCTTGGGCATTATGTTGCATTAGATATTTTTATGCATTATAGTGAAAGGTAAGGCTCCAGTCACTTTGATTGCTCCTCTTTATCTTTCACCACAATATTGGAATGAAATGACACATAAATGGCTATGGCTGCTGAATTCAATCTTCTTCTCTTGGTTCCTCCTCCTTTGTAGCATGCTCTCCTTCTTTTTTTCTAGTTGAGAGAAAGTTTGCAAATGGGCTTGAGGGTTTTGCAGAACTTAGGGTGGAATTACCTCAGACGTTAGCAGGATTGGGTCTGTGGCTTGCAGCATGTCAGGATGCTGATCACAGGCAGGCATTAAAATAGATAAAGATGGTGATACATGCCAGCAAAGCAAGCCAGCTCTGATTTAGTTTGGCAATGGCTTTTTTGCACGTTGCATTTCCCTTTCTATTTCAGCTTTCTCATAGGCATGGTTGAAGTTACATGCTGTAGATGTCTGCAGATGTATTGTTAGGCACTGCAAAACGCTGCCAGTTTTCTCTTTAGATTGCCTCTCCCTATCCTTATGCCCCCGTTAGGCTTTTATGCAGAAAGTCCAAGCAAAAACAGATGTTCTTTATTTCTCTAGGACTATATTTTCATTGCCATAATATGAATGTTGGAAATGGTGATTAATAGAAATCCAGGCATGGACATGGGCTCTGACCTACCAGGTCTGATGGATTTTCTGTCTTCACCAGTGTCAATTTGTGTAGCTTATGCAATGCCCGCTCAGCGGTGGCTGGGGACCTGTGCCAGAGGAAGTTGTCCCACTGTGCATTCTCCGCACTCGCAGTCGAATGGGGTTTGTTTCAACAGCTGATAGGTGTAGATGTAAAGTCTGTGGTTTCCACAGCAGAACCAATACATTTTTGCAGTCAGGAAAGCATTCCAAGATTTCCGGGGGAAAAAAAAAGCTCTGTGACATCTATTTTGGTAAATATTGCACGCCACCTGTATTTTTCAATTAGTTGAATAAAAAAATACAATGATTTTGGTGAAATCTCCTCAGTTTAGAGACTATTTATTATACATGACCCAGTATCTTTGCCAACTGTGAATATGCAACCGATTGTTTCCTTTGTTTCTGGACAATTAGTGTTTCAGAAGGGACGGACCATAGACACAGGAGAAGTTGAGATCGGAGCACAAGTTATGCAAATGATCCCGCCCGGTTTATTCTGGCGCTTTCAGATCACCATACATCACCCCATGTACCTGAAATTCAACATTTCACTGGCGAAGGATTCTCTGCTGGGAATTTATGGCAGAAGAAACATTCCACCTACTCACACTCAGGTAATTAGTAATAATGCTAATTACATCATGCTTTACAGTTTCAAACAGCAGTGGCTGCTAATGTTCACAATACACTTTTAAAGCAGGGAGGAAGGAAGGAACTGGCTGTAACCACAGAAAGCAGTCTGTTTATCCTGTTCTTATACTGAAGTCTAGCTACACCCCCAAACCATGCCCTCCCCAATGGAGAGGCAGTGTTGTACCAGCAAGATCAGCCATTCTGCCCACTGCCACATGGCTGTGGGAGACAGGACTGCTGCACACTGTTTTTTGGGGGCAGTGGGGTGAAATACTAGATCATTTGAAAATTCTTTAGTCTTTCTAGGACTTCATCAAAACAACCAGACTACAGCAGTCAGTATAAAGAGATAATAGGAAAAAAAAATGTTAGTTTCTCATGCAAAGATTATTTCAGACCATTTACTGATGGGGATATTGCAGGAGAAAACCTAGCTAGGCATTAAGAATATGCAGTATTGCTGGTTACATTCAACCTTTTTTTTTTTTTTTTTGCTTGCTGTGTTTGGCATATGGAGCTATCATTTCAATGGATTAAAATGCTGTCTTATAGCAGGATCACAGCATAACATATGTGATAAACTTGTATACAGAATCGTGGAAAGATTGTTTAGAAGGGACCTGTGGAGGTCATCTAGTCTAATCTCAACAATGATTTACTGAAGGTTTGATCTTAGAAATAAGTGATTCTAGCCGTCATTGGCTTTGAGTGGGTCTTCAGTCAAGCTGAACTTGAGCTTTACTGAAAATCAGTCTGGAGAATGTCAGGGGGAAAAAAAAGAAAAAAGAGAGAGAGAAATATGTACATTTCTTTCAGAAAAGTTTACGTCTTTTATGATGCTTTCAAATTAACTGTTCTTGAAGTTGTTGGCATCAGCTTGATTAGGTATTAATTGTTTCCATGTCACAAAGTAGCCACTTAATCGCATTAATAAAATTAAATATAAATAAAAGGCGTAAGAAGGTTTTGATATGTGATAGGGATACTAAGGAACAAACACTGAAAATTCTGGTATGAAACAATAGCTTATTTAATCTGGTTTTGTCATTTGAGATGAGTCACTGCATAAAGCAAGGCACTACAGCTTGGGAATTCTGTAATTATTCCCATTAAAGAGATATAACGTTGAAGTACCCCTGCTGCATTTAGTGAAGCAAGCCTGAATTTACCCTGCCATAGCAAAAAGCAAGTTTTGATGCCAGATTTCTGACCTACCATAATGCTTTCTATATGGAATAAAGAACTGAAGCTACATGGACTAGGTTATATGCAACTGCTGTCCATGTTGATGCATTCTTAGTCAGACAGGCAATTCTTCTCAAGATTTCAGTTGCTTTTTGCTGTTTGAATGAGACATGCAGAGTAGAGTCCATAAAAATTTACTAGGTGGTTAATTGTTGCTCATTATTATTTCAGTTTGATTTTGTAAAATTGATGGATGGAAAGCAGTTAATTAAACAGGAGACAAAAAACTCAGAGGAGCCACAGCAAGCTCCCAGGAATCTGATCTTAACTTCACTGCAAGAGACGGGCTTCATCGAGTACATGGATCAAGGAGCTTGGCATATGGCATTTTACAACGATGGAAAGAAAATGGAGCAAGTGTTCGTACTAACCACAGCGATTGGTAAGAACAATTACAGTAAAACTGTTACTCTGATTACTGCATTGGAAAGCTGCATTTGGAAAGATATTATCAATGTTGATTACAGTGTCTCTTAAATATTCTCTTAAATATTTTTTATTTCAGTTTAGTTTAATTAACCTCAGTGGAGTAACTTCATGTTTATGCCAATATTAGGCAAATAGCAACATTCATATATTAAAGATGGGTGTTAGCAAGTTAATTAGGTGTGAAGTTGTCATGTGTTTTAAAATCTTTATGTGATAATTTAAATGCTTGAGTAATTTCTGGTGTTATTTCGCTCAAAACAAAAGAGAATATGTCTGCCCTCTCTATTTACACAGGAACCATAAATCCTACAAAAATTAACCATGCTTTTGGTTCATATTTCAGTATTTTAATCAGTTAGAAAATCTAAAAGGCTGCTTTTGTGGGTTTGGTTGTTGTTGTTTGATGGGTATTTGCTGTTATTTTATAAACTTGTTCAACTGCACCATTCTGTTTGGAACTCAGAAGGCAAATACAGGGGACGCTGCTCTGGTGGGATATCAATTCCCTCAATTCCCTTTTGCCTCGTTAATAAATAAAACTGGACAAATGTTTGCAACTCTAGGTATTGCTGCAGAGAAGTGCTCATGCATAGGGTTTGTTTGGAATTTCATTTCAGGTGTTCTATTTATGACAGTCTTGGTTTGCTGCAAGACTTTAACCACTTTGCCCTTTAGTTAACCTGTTCTGCCATATGTTTAGCAAGATGTCTTTACTAGTAATGGACATGCCATCTGCTCTTGAGAACAATTGAATGCTATTTTTACTTGGTGGTAAAACACCTTGCAGAGCAGGACAGTGATTCAAATACCAACATTGGTGCAAGATTTGCAGGAAAAATATTTTAAAATGAGGTAGAATTGCAATTAGAATATTTTGTTTAAAAGTTCATATTTGCTTTGTGTAGAAAAGTAAATCTTTTACAAGTGGGAGAAATACCATTATTCATTGTCCTGTGAGAAAATAATATTCAAGCAATTTATGGAGCATCTTCACAGATGTTCTATGAGGAGCATAAAACCTGGCCAAATTCCAGTCCAGACCAGAATCCAAAGATCTGACCCCTTGTTTGTTTCTACTGTAACAGCAGATTTTTTTTCTACTACAGCAATATTTATACAAGAGAGTATAAACAGTATTTCATCATTAAGTAGCACACCATCTTAAAAATATATATTATAAATTCAATTGAATGTTTCAGTTAGGTTCCTGTTAAATTTGGTGAAGAAGAAGGTGTTTATCCCTTCTCTGGCCAATACAGAACAAGCAGAACAAGCTGGGTCTTACGGGGGGAAGCAGTGAGGGCCACAGGGCAGGCAGGAATCCTTATGTTTAATTTGAGAAATGTCCATGGGAAGACATATTGAGCAAAAAGAGGTTTCATACTGCAACAATCTACTGCTGGTGGATTTGAAAATACTGCTAGCTATTGTGTTTTCATGGCCTGTATATTTTCTTATACTTTTCTTTGCATAATCATTCTTGTTTTTATCTTGGGGGGGGGGGGGGGGGGGGGGGAAACACTACAAACATTTAAAAACAAAAACTAAATCATTTTCTGATCCTTGAGCAATGCTCATTACCCCAGACTTTGGGGTGTGTCTAGGGCTGGAGTTGTGTTTTATTTCCCTGCTGACAAAGGAATCAACCAGGAACACAGACTGAAGCAGTCAGCATATAGCAAAAGCTTGCATGCCTCTGCTGTATGTCGTTGTGGGCTGTGTGATGAGCACCTCATGAGCACCTCTTAGGTAGTCCATTCAGTTGCTGGATGTCAGTGGCATACTAGTTTGATTTTGCTGACCTGTTAACTAAACCTCTGATGACACTTTCCCTGATGGGGGGTTGTTTGCCTGCAAAATCTAACATATCTAGAGTATTTTCATAGCCTGAATAAAGGCTGTCCCAAACTGGACATTGCATCCGGGGGAATTGTTCAAACCATTAATTCTCCATTTCAAGTCAGTGTAGGGATCATTTATCATGTGATTCTAGAAAACTGAGAAGACAGGCAAGTGTACACATAGAACAAGAGAAGAGCTGATAATGAACAGTAATATGTGAAAGTTAATAATGAGCAGCATATCTGTGAAAAAACTTACTTCTGGAAAAAAAAAAAAAAAAAAAAAAAAAAAGATTATTTGACCTTGAAACAAACATCCACGTCTAGGTTGTAAATATCTGATGAACAGATACATATCAAAAGCCTGTTCTTTGGTATAAACTGATAGTCTGAAAGGAAATGAATGTTTTTAAGTATCAGTAGAGGTTTTCAAGAGGAACCGATCCTTATCTGTCCAAGTGCCCATAAATAAGATTAAAATAAACTTACTTCAGTTATTCATATTAGTTGTAGGATAAGCTTATAATCCATCCTTGGAAAAGTTTGACTTTAAAAGTATATCAGATTTGATTAGATTAAATAGTCCAGTGGTATGCACTTCCCTGAGAAAAGTTTTTCCTCACAAATCACTTGCCACGGACAAGGATCTGGGTTTTCTTTTTTTCCCAAAAATTTTTATTTTGTGGAAAATGAGCTGTTTCCCATCTTCAGATAGGCAAAGGTACTTGTACATGCCTATTTGTGCTTATGCCCATAAAATAGGCTGCTCAGTTCCCACTGCTCTTCAGCCCTGATCCCACCCTGCAAAGAACCTGCTGGTGCTGTGGCATCTTCAGTCCTAGTGCTGCCATGGCATTGACCTACTCTGCATGGGAGCATCCCAAAATTGAATTTACTTCACATTTTTTACATGAATTCCACCTAAATCAGTGAATCCACTGAATTCCTGAAGGAATTACACATGTAGATTTAGAACAGCTAACAAATATACAGACATGAGCTGGCCCTGCAACATGTAAGGTTAAGTGGTTTGCTATCCAAAGCTGTATGATGAAACATGCATAAGTTTAAGATCACAATCAAAGGTGTTCTTTTTTTCTTCAAATTTTGTTCTTAGGCCATTATTGCATTGAGTTTCATCACTTTATGAAAGACTTCTTTTCATCTTATTTTACAGAAGTGGAAATCCTACCCTCCTCCAAAGAATTAAATTCACATGGTTCAAACAAATACCATGGAAGACAATTTACTCTATAAATAGGTTTCCAACAAATTGCTTCAACAATAAAAGGAAGTGTTTAAGGTGGACATTTCTCAGCAAATACTTTGGTTCTTGTAGTGCTTTTAATGGTGGTAAATTTTACATGAACACTTACTTTAAAAGCTTTCTGGTGTAATATAAATGATGCACTTGTTATCTCAAAGCTGTCAAGACAAAATCTAATATTTGTAAGCTGCTTGAACACGAATTTTGTTTTATTCTCCCTATGAATGGAAATGGGCCTTTTTCTGCTTCCACATCTATTTGTATGTTGAGATGTGTCCTGCAGAGCAGGGTGAAGATGCCATTCATTTCAAATTCAACAAATTTGTGTTTTTCTTTGTGTACAACTCTCTGAATAAATAGAAGTTCTGGATGACTGCTCTACTAATTGCAATGGGAATGGAGAATGCATCTCAGGGCACTGCCACTGTTTCCCAGGATTCCTTGGTCCCGACTGTGCAAAAGGTAATCTCATATCAGCTAACCTAATGTACAGGACTGGGTTCAAGATTATGATATGTGACTGCTGGGCTTACAAAGATTCAAAGTGATTAATAGAGATTAAATTCCTTCTTCCAGGCAGATGGCAGATACAAGTGCAGGCATAGAAAGATTTTTATGCTGTACTTAGTTAAGATGCCTCGACCACTTCTCTCTCCCTGACTTTCAGAATCAAGAGACTTCTCCATCCCTCTTTGCACCCATTTTGTGATTTTAAAATATTTTTTAATAAGAGTGTCAGTTGAGTGTAGTGTTTACAGCTACTTAAAAGTGACAATCTGTTTCGCTTCAAAATACATCACATCTCAGTAAATATCAGTAATATGATTTAAATTGGAAAGGGTTAGAAAAGAAAACTAAAGCAACTTAGAGACTAGCAAAAACTAGAGAAACTAGAAGCTAGACTTTTTTTTTTCCTAGAGAAAACTAGAGTTTCTCTAATGAAAACTAGTGTTTTTTCGAGAGAAAACTGGAGTTTTCTAGCATTTGGGCCAAAATCTTGCTAAAAAGATTATAAGCGAGCTTAATTTTATTAATATTGTCCATCATCCACTGAATATTATATATGGAGGTTCTCATTCTTTTCTGTTGTTTCCTCAGATTTAGCGTTGTCTATATTTTAAGATTGATAAGCTCAGAAATTGGTACTGGATTGTAAAACTAAGCTTCTGCATCACTAGGTTAGATCAGTAATGGCTAAAACTTCAGTAGTGATAGGTCTGCTTAGAAAAAGAAAAGGGCAGTGTCTTGCTTCAGGTCCCAAGGAACAATATTAATGTTACAGAAAATGATAAGTAGGCATCACTGTGCAAACTCTCTCCAAAGACCTGTCAAGGAGAGAAATTTTTGTCTTCCAAGATGTCCCATTTCAGGTCAAAATTAAGGTATGTTAATAAAGCAGGTTGAAGACACTAGGATGCCTGTATTACTGTTGTGCTATCTGGTTCAAAGATTTCAGCCTGTCACAACCTTCAAGTGAAGGATTGGGAGGGCTGGAGTGGAAAAATGATTTTACAGAATGATAAATGCAATAAATGTTAATCTACATAAGTGTGTAAGTACATTAAAAAGGTCAATCTACCTTCTTCAGATTCTTGTCCAGTGCTCTGCAGTGGAAATGGAGAATATGAAAAAGGTCACTGTGTGTGTCGAAATGGGTGGAAAGGACCAGAGTGCGATGTTCCCGAAGAACAGTGTATTGATCCAACCTGCTTTGGCCATGGCACCTGTATCATGGGAGTCTGCATCTGTGTGCCTGGGTACAAAGGAGAGATCTGTGAGGAAGGTTTGTGAAGTTTCCCTCTTTATGGTTAGGGGAGGTGGGGGAAGGGGGTTGGATTTTAGCCTTTAATCTCCTAACCTTTTTTAAGGTAGTTAGGAGCTCACATGGATGTGAGAAACTTACTGTGAAGCAATACTGCTTTTCAAGCACCTTTTAAAGCTTCCTGGAAAGGAATGTTAAGATAGAAACCATTCAAAGATAAAGGCATTCAGATCTCAGTGACAGTCAGTGGGAGTTGATCACATAATTTCTGAGATTCACATTTTTATTCTAAAAGATTAGAAGTATTTAACATTGGCTAATAAGAATATCTAGTAATATCAGTAGGGCAGTCCTTTGAAATGCTGAGTTTCTTGTGCAGTCTTTCAGTTTCCTCCCTCTGCTGAATCTCAATGGCAAGAGCCAGGAGGAATTTTTTGCCTTTCAGCATGCAGTGGCTTCTCAGTCCTCCAAGGAAAAGTTTATCTGCATGCAAGGATTCCCTTTCTGGGGGCAGGTTGTGAGACCATCCTGATTCTTCCCTGCTTTTCTTCTCTCAGACCCCAGACATGTTTTTTCAGGAAGAGTGGCTGGCATCACCAGGTTCGTGGTGCCAGAAACCTCAGTCATTTAAGTGTGCACCATCAAAGACTCTCACTTGGCCAAAAGCTAATGGTAAGACAGTCAGAAGATCATCTAAACAAAATAAGATCTAGGATTTCTCTGAAGTAATCAGCAGAGCGTAATCATCTCTTCCCTTTCTTCATTCTGTTGCATCTTAGATTTTTCTGTGAAGAATGTACGGACTATATGAAGCCACGAGAGCAGCAAACAGTTTCAATTTCGCAGAGCATGCTGTGTAATTCTGTTGTCATATGTCATTTTTACTGTGAGCCTATATTCGGGGTACTAAACCACCGTCCTTTAAAGCTTGGCTAATAAAAAGTGGGAAATTACAAGAACAAGTAATTGTACTTCAGCTGCTTATAATACCAATGCGTCTCTGCCCTCATCTACAGAAAGAAACAGTTGTTATTTGGCTGCTAGCATTTCTGAGGTAGCTCATCAGCTACAGCTTTCTTCCCCTGTGCATAGGCTCGGAAAGCAGAGCAGTTCTTCATGCTTGCCCTGATTTGATGATTTTTCAGTAGTCCCCTTAGCCTGAAGCTAGTGCCAGCATATATTGTGCTTTGTGCTATATAGGTTTTAGGTAATTCTTCTGAGTAGCACACAAAGGAAGCTCTTATGTGGCCTGAATTCTCTAATCAGAAAAATGCCCAGGAAGGATTTGGTGGATTTGACATATCTGATATGTTTCTTAAAGGGAGGATCAAGAGAATGTTTCTTACATTCTCAGCTGTTGGTAGTTTCAGAAATGGACAAAAACAAGAAAACCCAAATGAGAAAAAGCAAGTAATACACAGATTTCCTCACTGAGGCCATGATACTTGAACAAGCCTGGAGCTGGTGAGAAGCTGACTGCCATTTACAGTTACTTTGCTTGTTGAGATAACGTGGTCCTGCAAAATGGTTGAAAAAATAATTGAGATAAATGTACTCGGACAGCTATTGAAGCTAAGAGCATGAAAACGATTTTTTTTATAGTATTTAAACTTTAAAAAAATAAGTGGAATCATAGAAATAGGGTGAATGAAACAACCCTGTACAGAGGATTTTTATTGTAATAGTGTGTGCAATGACACAAATGCTCAGTTTACTGTATTGTGCAATGTAACTTGTACACTACTGGAAGCAATTCTGTCAGGGATTGGAATTACATTATTGTGTGATTATACATATATATATGTATATATATACATACAATATATGTGTAATCATACACACATATTGTGTATAATTAATATTATAGCCATACATGTATTAACACAGCAGACAGTAACAGATGCACTATCCAGGGAACACCAGTAGCTATAGGTATTCGCTGCTATGGGCATGCTTTGAATTCATCCTGTCAGATTATCATTTGTAAAAGAAGCGTTGCTTTTTAACCTGTTTGTGGAGTCACTCAGTTTTCAAAGATCGACAAAATCAAGAGCTGTCTTTCAGGATAAGAGGAAATTGCCAAGTATTTTGTCCTGTGCTTAGCAAGATATACTTTGTCCAGAAACACTAATTCCTCTTTTTCAGACTTACCTTATTGCTCTTTACAGATACCTTAAAGGAGGCTGTAGAGAGGTGGGGGTTGGCCTGTTCTCCCACGTGCCTGGTGACAGGACGAGGGGGAATGGGCTAAAGTTGCGCCAGGGGAGTTTTAGGTTAGATGTTAGGAAGAGCTTCTTTACTGAAAGGGTTGTGAGGCATTGGAACAGGCTGCCCAGGGAGGTGGTGGAGTCACCATCCCTGGAAGTCTTCAAAAGACGTTTAGATGTAGAGCTTAGGGATATGGTTTAGTGGGGACTGTTAGTGTTAGGTTAGAGGTTGGAGTCGATGATCTTGAGGTCTCTTCCAACCTAGAAATTCTGTGATTCTGTGATTCTGTGATTGTGCTGTGCACAAGCCTGGTAGGCTGAAAAAGATAGAAAATAAATCTTGAAATAAAATCTTGAACTGGTGGCATAGCAGCTCAAAGATAAAGCATCTCTTCTTTATTCTTAGGTCAAAAGGTGCTGTAAACTGGATGCTCTTAATTTCTAAGTCTGAAGTATTTAGTCTTCTGTTGCTGAAACAGAGAACATCTCTTCATTTGTGTAACACAGAATACCATTTCTTAAGTTTACAATTTAATTACTAACACAGTACTTGGGCTAATACTTAAAAAAAAATTCATACAAGAACTTCCAAAGTGCATTTTTAACACTAGTTTGAAGCATGATCTAACACGAATAGGCTTTTGGCTAATTGTTTTGCATACTCAAACACCCCACAAATTACTCTCCAGCTCTGCAGTCTTACTGAAGCCCCCAGAGAAGGCAGGCTGTGTTGTCCTCAAAGTCTGTCTTGTTAAAGAAATGCTGGATCTTGATGAAGGAATATACTGATTATGCAGGACTAACCATCTGATTTAAATTCTTCTACAGAGCTCCTGAATTTTTCACTAAGAAGAGTTTAATCCAAATTGAGAATAAATTTAGCTCTTTGTCTGTTTGCAAATTGTTCATCAGTACGTTACGACTTTTATGAATCTGTTCATTATCTGCAATTGCCCAGCACATACTTGTTATGAGTGTATGAGATTTCTTTACAGTGAGTATTCAGAGACTCACGATTCAGGGCTTAGTGGATGACCTTTTTTTTTTGTATCAGGTTCCCAGCTGTAGTGATAGTTTTGCAGAGAAACATGAAAGAATAAATCTTTTCCCAGATGTGAATAAAACATAAAGCACAAATAACTGAATGGAAACACAATGCACAGTTGTAGAAATTTAATTGTTAATTGCTCCAGTTCTTTCCCAGCTCTGTTACTGAAACACAAACTTCCCTAAGATCAATAGACCTGTCCAGGGAATCTGCTTTTTAACAGTTAGACAATATCCAAGATAAGTATAATCATATGATCTCCACCAGTCTATGCATTTGCTTTTTGTCTTGTTTTTAGCTTATAATTTTGCAGAGATGTTAGCATGGACTGTTTTTCCATGTGCATTTGTTAACATCATTTCAATTGGAGTATTTGCACAAAAATCACCAAATTGATCTGAATCCCTGATACTGTATGTCACTAGGAAACCCCTGTAAGGGTGCAAACTTAATGCTCTAAACTGTGTATTCACTGCTTTCCAGAGGACTGCTTGGATCCAATGTGCTCGGGCCACGGTGTCTGTGTTCAAGGGGAATGCCACTGCTCCGCGGGCTGGGGCGGTGTGAACTGCGAGACGTCGCTGCCAGTCTGCCAGGAGCAGTGCTCAGGGCACGGCACCTTCCTCCTGGATGCAGGACTCTGCAGCTGTGAGCCACAGTGGACGGGTTCAGACTGCTCAACAGGTATGCTGGAGATTTTCCTTTTTCAATAAAGCCTATTAAAAGCTTAGGCTTTCTGTTTGGCTTGTGAAAGTAGTTATTATTGCTGTGCTGGTGTTAATTTGAAAAACAACATAGGGATGAAGCAGGGGTGCTATGGCATCACAGTCCCCTTTATTTGGAGATATACCTATCGGTTTGGCAGCAGCTGTTTTCTGTTGACAAGGATAAAATGGCTTTTTCTTTGCAACAAGAATGCTGACTGCCTGATGTGTGACAGCAAGAACGGTAGTCCTGCAAGTGTGCAAGTAGCTCCTAGCTTCGACTGGAGTTAAGCAGGATTTTCTCATGAGATGGATCATTCATTGAGGGAACCCACAACTCTGAGAGAGACTGAGAGGATATAAAAAAAATCCAGTGACTCATGAGTAAGAAACCTCTGTCAAAAATATTTAAACAGGAATGGCCAACCATTCTCTCATGCTGAGACAAAAAATCTGTTCTTTCTTAGAGGACCATCAAAGTTTAATCCCACTGAATTTGATTAAGAGTTGAAATGGATTTTTTATGTGCTTTGTACATTTACATTTCGTTTTCTTGAAATGAGTGCACTCAGGACATTTTACTCTGTAATAGAGCATATCATTACTAAAGTACATACTACTTTTTTTTTTCTTCTGAAGCTCACAAAATGAGAATCTCAGATGATGAGTAACACATCCGTGTACAAAGTAGATCCAAGTGACAGATTTGCTGAATACTGTGAAATACAACTAGTGGTCCAAGTCACCAGTTTTTCTTAGAAATCATCATTCAAAGGAACCCTTGTACCAGTATAAATTTCCTTTTAGATATTTAAAATCCATAATTATAATCACCTCATGCCAACATTTTAAGCAACAAAATACTGACCTGCTGATAATTTTGAGTGTTTATTACAAAGACCCTGCATTCGTTCCCTACTCCAAAATTAAAACCTGTAATTTCAGTCTGATACTGTTAGATATGGTACTGCTTTAATAAGAACTGACTTTGTACTGGCTTTCAGCAGAACCTCACTTACTTGCATTTTTATCGTGTATTTTATTATTTGTTAAAAATATTCCCTAAAGGACAGTAGTACAGTAGTACTTCCATTGATGAAGCAAATAATTAGGAAAGGTGCTAGCAATTTACTAGTTGTTTTTCCCTTAAAAAATATGGAAATTAATTCTGTTCTAGCATGAAGTTACTGTAGCTCAAAGAGAGCTGTTAAACTCCAACAGTTCAGTCAAGTCAGCTGCATGGGGCAATTAGATACTAAGTAAGGGAACAAAGATAAAATAAATGTGATAAAGAAACTTTTATCTTGTGTGCTGGGATCACAGTTCTCATGTTTGTCTTACTTTCGAAGCTGTTTTGATGAAGTCTTTGAAAAAAAATTACTTCTTTTTCCTTACCTGCACCAACCAATGGAGAAAATACCCCTCTGCATGCATACTGTCTTCTGTGTTATCAGAGAAGGGGGGTTTCGTGACCACGGGCAGGCATGCTCACGTCTCTCATACTATCTTGTTCATCAGTTCCCTCACACAGTTTTAGTTTATTCCTAGTTTAGGCGTCCTATGGCAACTCACACAACAAGCCCTGGGGTGGGCATGTTCACGTGGGGATCACAGCCTACCAGGGCTTCTGGAGTCAGGAGCACCTGGGGAGCACAGAGCCCCTCTTGGGGACACACAGCTACCTCTGCACCTCCACGGGCAGCCCTAGTGACCATGGGGTGTCAGTCCAGGAGGTGCAGAGCAGGGCAGCCTCACATGGCCAGTTCAGACAGCCATTGCTGTATGCTCTCAAGGAGCTCCGGTCATGGTGTCCACCCAGCAGAAAGCGTCCTCTGTGTCCCCTGTGCCCACAGGAGCCAATGCAGCTGTCCAGACAGAGCTCCTGAGGGGACAGGTGGCCATCTAGGCCTCGGGTCACGGCATGCCTGACTTTTCTGTCAGTGTCTGAGGGCAGCAGTGAGCACACCTGGAGGAGGTGCACCCAGGCACAATAGCTGCTCAGCCTCGTGGCAGAGCTCCATGCAGAGGCAAGTTGGTTCAAGTGTGTCATGGAACCTGAGAAGATGAGCTGGTGGAGTTGTACTCTGCTGTCCCTGGGACAGGGTGTCACCTAGTCATGACACACGACACAGAGGGTCCCCTGCCCTCTCGCCAACAGGCAGAAGGCAGTGACTGAAGAGTTGGTGGGAAGTGGAGACAGATTTGTGTTCAGAGCAACAGGCCTAACCCCTCCCGGCCTGCCTCACCATCCCAGGTACCCCTGTAAAATATACCCCTGTGGTCAGTCAAACAGTGATGCAGATGATGATCTGTGTTGGAGGCATCAAAGAATGTTTGGTCGGCCTAACCCTCACATCACAACCACTTCTGTTGAGATAAAAAAGGTGAGTTACTGTCATCAGTGACACTTCTGAGGGAAGCAGAGGGCCTGATATGCCAACCAGACCCACCTTGTATAGGGAATTTTGCTGCCTCCTCGGAACCCTGATAAAAAAATCTTAGAAGAAAACTTGCTAGCCTGGTACTGCCCCTACGTTCTTACCCATTATTTTTTCATCTAGGCAGTGATGAAGCTGGGACTAGAAGTCAGAGGGTGATCAAAAGAGACTTCAGGGCAAAGTAATATAGTAGGATGAAAGACTGATAGTACGTTATTTTAATCTCACCAGCAAATCAGTATAGTCAACTTACTACTTACTGTCTGTGGGTCTTTGTTGCTTTATTTATAGACTGTCATCCAAAATCCCTTGATGTTAATGAGTCATTTCCTTTTGAGGGAAATAGGAGTATGCTTCAGAAAGACAAAATCAAGCTTGTGAATACTGACTGTTCATTGTCAGGTAGAAGAGGGAAACTGGCAAATTGAAGATTTGCCAGTTTCATCAACGAACTGAAGAAAACCAGCATCATCAACGAACTGAAGAAAAAAACTCACCCTCTGTTCTCAGATCTGTGACAGAGCTGATGCCTCTGACATCCTGTCCTGTATTCATTTCTCTGGACTCTTCAGCCAAAGTAGGCCAGTTTCTGTCCTCCAGGACATTTGTCATCATTCCACTGAATCCATTTATACTGCTGAAGCAACCTAATTATGATCAGGAAAAGAATACTGGCAGTTCTTAGTCACAAAAACATTCATCCTAAAATGATTATATGTAGATGGTATATATTTAGCATATCTATTTTTGGTTAAGCTCTCTAGCAAGATCGGTGGTAATTTTACAAAGGGTAAAAATGGATCAGCAGCCTCTTCCTTCAGTATCTTGCAAAGCATAAAACCTCTTTAAAACTGAAGTACTTTGAAAAATGTTGTAATTGTTGTAAATTGATATGTGCAGAGTGGAGTAATTTAAAAATCATTAGAAGTATGCATTTTTTAAAGTGAAGTGCTTCAAAAAGAAATGAAGGCATAATACAGTGTGTTAATATAGTTCAAGACATCTCAAATTGATTTCAAAATTAAACATCAAAAACTGCAACTTGAAAAAATAATTAGGTAAAACCATTTCATCGCAATCAGAAAACTCTTCAGGTTTAGGAAATTGCAAATTATGGGTGTCAGTCATTCTGATTTGCCAAGGACAAGGGTATTCACTACAAACAACTCACAGTAGTGAAAGTATCCTTGAAATTTCTTCCATATGTGATGTAACCTATGCTACATTTTCTCTAGACTGTTTCTGTAGACTTTTCCATGTTGGCACTTTTACTCCCTATTTATGACAAATCTCAAGAACTTTTAAATTACGTTATAACCATCCTTTGTTGTTGTGTTCTGAAGAAATGATGGACTTACTTGATTTCATCTATCTGTCCTCTTTCTTTAATTTGTGAGGAGCTTTGATTATTACTGCTCAGCTAATTAAAAGGATGATTGAAGTTTCTCCTGATGTATGTTGTTTGACATTGTAGAAAGACTCTTCTTACTACTGTATATTTCATTTAAAACAAAAAAAGCGATGTGTGACTAGTTTGATTTGTATCTCCTGTAGAGTTGCAAGAGTTTGCAAAAAGATGTCTGGTGAGCAAGATTTCTATTAAAAACTTAGTAGTTAGTGATTGGAATGTCTAATATGTGTTACTAGAGAATTTAAAACATGAGAAATTTAAGGGAGTGAAGAAGCACTCCAATAAAAATTAATTCTCCTACATGTTGAAATCAGCCCAGTGGGAACCAGAAAGACCTGATGTAGTCATGTATTGATTTAAGAAATAGGATAAGTCAAGGGTATGAGAGATACAGTGAGGAAGCCTGGGTTGTTTTTCAAATTATTGCTGCTTATTTCGCAGATATGCCAGAAATAATGGCTCTTTCCTTCCCTTTTCCCTCTTGAAAATTAAGATCCTTAATCTATTGCTATCTGCACCTTGTGCAGCAATTACTGGAAATGTTCCTCATTCAAATGTAAACATAATTTACTTAAATCAAGTTTGTGAATCCTGGTCTGTCCACAAGCAGGTATTATTTATTCCCCTGGGTGGCATCCCCAGACTTAAGTCTGGATTCTCCTATCCCAGGAGCTCTTCCCTTATCCAGGACCAAGGTATGTGAACAGTTGTGGCAATAACAAGGGCCCTGTCTGTCCTCCCCCTTAGGTAGTTGGCAGAGCTTTTCCTCTCTGTGTTTAACATAGCAACTATATAGGGAGTCCATTGTGCACAAGAAATTTCAACCTCAGTATGTTTTGTGCTAGGCTTAATCCAGTAGATCTGTTTTGAGGGTAACACTGATTAGCAGCTATAGACAACTTTGTAAGGATCTTGTGGACTGTGAAACTAGAGAGATTGAAACAAGGCTGTATAATCTTAGGTGTTCATCTAGTAGGAAAACATGGAAAATATGTGGGATTTTAGTAGCAGTTCAAGTGCCAAAGTGTTTTAAGCATATCCAGATTGAGGTAAACTGAGCAAAAATTTTGGATTTAGACACTTAAAGTTGTAGTTAGGTGCCTGCATCCTTTTGTGCATCGCATATTTATC